AAAATACAGATCTCAAAATTGATCGCAAAATTTAATTATTAAATTAATATTTAAGCTTACCGTTTACAAGTTCAACGATAATTCTTCTGTCGCCACTTAATTTAGCGACAGTTTGATGTACGTAGGTCCTTTCTTTCCGTACAAATAATTATTTTTATTTCATGGGTGACTTTCGTGGTATATCGCAAGTATTTTCGATTATTCCTAAATTTATTTCTGAGTTGTAAAAATTGTAATCGTACAAAAACAAAATTCGTCGTAAAAAAGTCACGTAAAATCGCTGAAAACAAACGCAGTAATGAAAATTGGGAATCTAAAAATTTCAGGATTGCTGATCCGAATCCGGCCCGGAATTTTTTTTTAATTTGCTCAAGGTATCGGCCTGATTCCAAAATGGTATGATATATTACCTCTAGGAATAAAGTTGAAAACACTGATAATTTTATTTTGAAACATTGTAATTTGGAAAAAGTATTTTTTTTCATTTGAACATAAGCTATTGAAAGTTAGATAGTTATGTCCCTTTAATTGTTTTTTTTTTATCAGTAGAAGCCAAAATGCTGAATACAGAAAACAATCGCAGTAATGAAAACAATTTCAGGGCTGCTAGCCCAGAATGATTGAAATTTGCTCACGGAGTCGGCCTGATTCCAAAATAGTATGATATATTGGGCTACAGCCTTTAGGAGTAAATTTGAAAAAGTGTGACACAGTGTGTTATGGGACCTTACCCATAATAATATAATGGACTATTCCATACGCCTCAAGGAAGCAGAGAGTTCAGTCTGAAGTCGGGCGACCGGCTGACCGGCTGATCGGTTGAACTCTCTGCCTTCGGGCGGGGAGGAACCCGAACGAGGCTACGCCGAAGCGCGGAGTCTCTTTCGGGGAGGTAAACCGACCCTGAACCCGTTTATACGGGTTCAAAGGTCATATTTTTGGCCGAGCCCACGGGCTCGGTGATCCCACGTTAAACTGTCCTTGTGCCACATGATGCCCTCGTTGGGGGGGGGGGTGACTAAATACCGTTCAGTCTGAAGTCTGGAGTCAAGTCCGTCAGGAGTCTGTCAGTCAGAGCGAACGAGCGAGCAAGCGAGCGAGCGAGTCAGTCAGTCGAGTCAAAGGCATTCCGAAACAGAGGCGTGTTCAGACAATTACTACTAAACCTGAATGTTCGTACTAACACTTTCTACTTCTCTACATATATTCCTGTTTGTAATATATCTGTGTTATTCCATATCCGTGTTCGAGTTCTTCTTTATTGGTTCTACCTTGGACTATCACCGTGGTACAAGGAACCGGACCATAACACAGTGACACACTGACATTCGCATTTATTACATAGATGATTCATCAGAAAATTAAAGCATGAAGGCCGGGAAATTTTCCTGGGTACTAATACTAGGTAAACCTCGTAGGAATACCGACCGCGCCATGTCTACGTAGTAATTTTCAGCAACATGGCACTTTAGAGTAACTGAAATATCTGGCAAATTTTTTTTACAAAGACGAGGGAAAGCGCGACAATTCTGTTAAAGAATACTGAACTGCTACTTAATATTGGTCCTCCTACATGGCATTGGATGCTGGACAATCTCCCCACAGATGAAAAATAGACGATAGCAATGTGGTTTCTACAGAAGGTTACCGAGAATACCATGGACTGAACATATAAACAACTATGAGAAAATGAAAACATAAAATATTTATACTTAACATCAGAAAAAGACGGTTGAAATTTCAAGGTGTTATTATGAGGATAGAGAGCTTGGAAAATATGATACACACAGGACAGATTGAAGACAAAATAAAAGAAAGGAAAACTTATAATCTACCTAATGAGTTTGAGTAACGGAATGGCAGAACAATATTTAGGAGAGATAACAAGACAATATCTATAAAGACTTACAAAGTACAAGAAGTTATAGAGCGCCATGACCATCAATGCTCCTAAAGAACACGACATATAGAAGAAGTTATAGAATATTTATTTCTTTATCAGATTAGATAAACCTCCTATAAATTTAATTCGCGATCTAACACCATGTTTGATGGATGTCAGTTATCAAGGACACATTATTCGGACTATTGTCCTCATCTTTGTCGCCATATTTATCACAACGTCCTCAAGTTCACATGGCACAGTAGATAAAGGCGTTGGTTAGATCCAGTGACAGGACCCAAAGATTGTGAGTTCAATACCCGGTTAAGGCAGTGGAGAACTTTCAGAGGGAAATTAGCAGAGCGAACTGATAACTGACATCCATCAAACATGGCACGTGGAACTAGAACAGTCTACCCCGGTGAGCGAAATAAAGGGTTCAGTTCGAAATTCCAACCACCTGAAGAAGGCCGGAACGTACAACGGCCGAAACGTTGTGATAAATATGGCGACAGAGATGAGGACAATAGTCCGAATAATGTAAATAATGTACATTTGAATATTTGAAGATTATAGCTGACAGGGAAACAAGTGATAGGAAGGGAATTCCACTGACTGGAGGTGCGAGATATGAAGCTATTGGAATAGAAGAAATGGTTTCATTTAGTTGTTCGACAGTGAAAGTGTGGGACCGAGATGCCAACCTAGTAGCACGCTTAAATTCATGCAGTTTGGGAAACATTGAAAGTAGCTCGTCGAAAGCAGTTGCCATGAAAATACTTGTAGAAAAAACAGAGAGAAACCACAGCAGGTTTGTGAGAAAGTGACTGTAGACGGGAAGCAATATGAGGACCAATCACACTGCATATCCGTTCTGGATTTTGTCGAGCTTTGATCTTCAGCTCCTGTCAAGCATACAGCGTCCATATTTAACTGCCAGACAAGAGTCTGATTACCACACGAGCTTTATAGAGTAAAAATTTGGTATGTTCTTTCAGCTTGCTGGTGTCCATACTCTTTGTTAACTTGAACATGATGGCAGAAGTCTTACCAATACTTATTTAGCCAGGTGTCGAGAGATCATATGGGCTCTGGAGGACGTTTTGAAGGATCAGGATGCCACCTTCTTCCGTAATGGGATTGCAATACTTAAGCATCGTTGGACCAAGTGCATCGATGTCAAGGTGTACTGTATGGAAAAATAGTGAAAAACTATCCTGTTTCTCCAAAGCCTTCTGGAACTTTTCGAACAACCCTGCTAAATATATAGTTTAACTCTTTCAATTAATTAGTGCAATTATGTATTTTAACGCAAAGCAATATCACTATGACCCAGATAAATTACTTTATTCTCCAAGCTGAAGCATTTTAATTGAATTGCGCTAATAAAAAGACTGCACAATGTGGCGTTTTATATTCGTTATAATTTAGAAGGAAAAGCGTGACAATTTGTGTTACATGGCGTAACATAATTAAAACGATTATTTAAAGAGGTTACTGACGCGTTTTAATCTTGATAAGAGCTTTCTCTTTTGTAAAATGTCAAAAGAAATGAGTGCCTGTAACTTTCATTCTGTTATAGCATAATTTGTCTGTAACATGAGACTTTACAGTAACGGTAAATTGAATTCTTCTGGTATAAATGACTGCATATAGATTGAAGATAATGACTGAGGTTATTCCCGGAGGAGAGACAAAGACATGACTTTTTTTCTTTTCTCTCTTTTTTTTTCGTTTTTTTTTTTGACACAATCTGTGACTGTTAGCAGAATCACGTGACAATGCGCCATTTTGTCGCATCTCTAGTCTACGAAATGTAGAGTGAATGCCGGAAATTGAAGAGGAAATAAAAAAAATGGTCGTGTTCGCTAAGAGCTGAGATTGATAAGGCCTCCTGAGTCACGAAGCGACAATCCTCGGAGACAAACGAAATGGTTATTATTATTATTATTATCAAAAAAGGAGAATTTTGAAGAAACATAAAACGAAAATAAATGGAAGGAAGGAAGGAAGGAAGGAAGGAAGGAAGGAAGGAAGGAAGGAAGGAAGGAAGGAAAGAAGGAAGGAAGGAAGGAGATTGGGCGAAAGATTCTGAAGAAAAAAGAAAGAACTAAAAGCTCAGATAAAGAAAGAAGCAGAATAAAAAGAGGAAAGAACAAAGAAATTTTAATTGAAGTAAATATTGGAAGAAAAAGAGAAACAGAAAAATTCGACAAAAGAATGAATGAAAGAAAGGAGAATTATATGCGAAAGAAGGAACACAGTGAGTTAAGAAAGAAAGAAAGAAAGAAAGAAAGAAAGAAAGAAAGAAGAGCTAGGTGAGAAAGAAAAAAGAAAGAAAAACGAAAGAAAGCAAGGAAAAGGAGAGTTAGGTAAGAAAGAAAGAAAGAAAGAAAGAAAGAAAGAAAGAAAGAAAGAAAGAAAGAATGAAAGGAGAGCTAGGTGAGAAAGAAGAAAGAAAGAAAGAAAGCAAGGAAAAGGATAGTTAGGAAAAAAAGAAAGAAAGAAAGAAAGAAAGAAAGAAAGAAAGAAAGAAAGAAAGAAAGAAAGAAAGGAGAGCTAGGTGAGAAAAAAAAAAAAAGAAAGAAAGCAAGGAAAAGGAGAAAAAGAAAGAAAAGAAAGAAAGAAAGAAAGAAAGAAAAGAAAGAAAGAAAGAAAGGAGAGCTAGGTGAGAAAGAAAAAAAAAAAAAAGAAAGCAAGGAAAAGGAGAGTTAGGAAAGAAAGAAAGAAAGAAAAAAGAAAGAAAGCAAGGAAAAGTAGAGTTAGGTAAGAAAGAAAGAAAGAAAGAAAGAAAGAAAGAAAGAAAGGAGAGCTAGGTGAGAAAGAAAAAAAAAGAAAGAAAGCAAGGAAAAAGAAGAGTTAGGAAAGAAAGAAGGAAAGAAAGAAGGAAGGAAAGAAAGAAAGAAAGAAAGAAAGAAAAGAAAGAAAGAAAGAAAGAAAGAAAGGAGAGCTAAGTGAGAAAAAAAAAAAAGAAAAAAAAAGAAAGAAAGCAAGGAAAAGGAGAGTTAGGTAAGAAAGAAAGAAAGAAAAAGAAAGAAAGAAAGAAAGAAAAAAGAAAGGAGAGCTAGGTGAGAAAGAAAAAAAAAAAGAAAAAGAAAGAAAGCAAGGAAAAGGAGAGTTAAAAGAAAGAAAGAAAGAAAGAAAGAAAAAAAGAAAGAAAGAAAGAAAGGAGAGCTAGGTGAGAAAAAAAAAAGAAATAAAGAAAGCAAGGAAAAGGAGAGTTAGGAAAAAGAAAGAAAGAAAGAAAGAAAGAAAGAAAGAAAGAAAGAAAGAAAGGAGAGCTAGGTGAGAAAGAAAAAAGAAAGAAAAAAGAAAGAAAGCAAGGAAAAGGAGAGTTAGGTAAGAAAGAAAGAAAGAAAGAAAGAAAGAAAGAAAGAAAGAAAGAAAGGAGAGCTAGGTGAGAAAGAAAAAAGAAAGAAAAAACGAAAAAAGCAAGGAAAAGGAGAGTTAGGTAAGAAAGAAAGAAAGAAAGAAAGAAAGAAAGAAAGAAAGAAAGAAAGAAAGGAGAGCTAGGTGAGAAAGAAAAAAGAAAGAACGAAAGCAAGGAAAAGGAGAGTTAGGAAAGAAAGAAAGAAAGAAAGAAAGGAGAGCTAGGTGAGAAAGAAAAAAGAAAGAAAGAAAGCAAGGAAAAGGAGAGTTAGGAAAGAAAGAAGGAAAGAAAGAAAGAAAGAAAGAAAGAAAGAAAGAAAGAAAGATGAGATGAGATGAACACAGGTAAAAAAGAAAAAAAGAAGATAGGTGAGAAAGAAAGAAAGAAAGAAAGAAAGAAAGAGAGAAATAAAGGAGAGGTAGATGAGAATGAATGAAAAAAGAAATTTCTTTCTTTCTTCTCTAAGGAAAATGAAAGAACGAAAATGTTTTAAAAGCACAAAGAAAAAAGTCAAACAATTTAGTACACTGCGTAAATACGTTCAAAACAGTCAACTAAATTCGGTTACAACTCGCGCCAAGGTAAGTATATTCTTTAAAATTTAGGGCAGCATGCACATAGTAGTTACTATACTCGTACCGTTTCGACGGTTGTACATTCCGGCCTTCTTCATGTGTCTCTTTATAGCCTGGTTAATTGATCACTTTATTAAATTCACGAGAGTAGGATAATTCCAATTCTGCTTTTTATGCTCAGGGAATGTATTTTATCAATTGTAATGTTTCTTCCTTTGGATTAAAGTATGTGAAATTTTCACACTATCAGCCGATTGAAATCCTACCTGTCAGAGAACTAGATATACCGGGTGTAACAGCAAAACTGTCCAATTGTTAAATGCATCCTTGAACTGTTGTATCTTATAAATGATTAAAGACATCCTACTGGAATTCTCCGAGGTTTTTATAACCATATTGGACTCTACTTTGAGCCATATAAGAATATATAATTACTCTCAAGACATGTTCATCATTATAGATAAGGATTGTGACGTCATAGGGTTGATATAAAGTTCATATATATATATATATATATATATATATATATATATATATATATATATTCCAGGGCATTTTCCAACTTATTCAAGGTGAACTTCGCCCTCTCTAAACTTCTAATTTTCTGGAGTAAGAATGTGCCTCACATGTTTCACGTACGATTTCATTTTCAAGTCTTCCCCCCCCCACCGCTTTTTGGACTGTCATAACTGAAACTCATTTCTCACGTGCCAAACGTGTTATGGATTAAGTTGGATCTTTTCTAATTGATCTCTTTAGCTCTAATTTGAAATGATGATCCCTCTTGCTGTTGTGACCTCCTGATCCAGTATTCTTCTCTATTGTTCCCTCTTTTTAAAACTCATTTACCGTTTTCTTGATGCTAGATAGACTTTAAAAGACAGAAGCCAGAGTATGAATGTTCGTACCATTACTGACGGCCCGAATGATCTTTTTCCTCCCACTATTGCTCAGTTGGGAAGAAGACATAATGAACGAAAAAAAAAAAACGATTTTAACCTGTTCTCTTTTTAGCTGAATAACTCAAAGGATTTTTCATTCATTCTTACGACAAAGTAGTTTAGTGTTTTTTTTTGTTTATTTTTTAGATATTAAACATTTTGTGGGATGGACAATTATGCTGTTACATTATTTGGACACGTTTGTAATATTAGTGAGTACGGACAGGGAAATCACCACTTTATTATATTGTCATTTACTTAGTATCGAATGATAATCAAACAATACTTACTCAAGTGTTCAAGCTCACCACTTAGCGTATCTGGAAAAGAGGTGTGGAAAAGCGTAACAAACCCTTCTTAGGTTATTATTATTATTATTATTATTATTATTATTTATAGTCTTTAGTTAAGTTTTAGTTACTTATTTGTTTTATATATTTATTTTATTATATCTCTGCACATTTTCACTTCCAAATGTTGATAATTGAAATAAACTTTTGATTTTGTGTCATTTTTATTTTGAGTTATGTGGTTGTAGGTAGTGTAGTAAGAATTTATGTTCGTGTTTGCTCAGATCTTTTGTTTAGGTATTTATGTTGCTCTGTAAAAGTGATTATTGCTATTTACTCCTCGAGGCAAATATTACATTGTTTTCAGTTGTTATAAATTAGTATATTTTTTCCTATTTTTCATGTTAAGTTTAATGTTCTTTGTTGCTTTTGACGTGCCATATTTGTTTTTGAAAGTGTTGGGCTATTTACATATTTGTTATGATAAAAAGTTGATTCACTACGTCGCGCGAAACATTTTTTTCTCTCCAGAATCTATCATATATATCTATAAGTCAACCATTCGTCCATCCTTAGAATATTGCTTCCACATATGGTCTGGTAACTCTGCTATTTACCTTGGCTTCCTTGATAAAATCCAAAGAAGAATCAGCAATATTATTGGTCTCGACTTGGGGTTTTCGGCTTCAGTCGCTATGCAACCACCGCAAATTTGCATCTCTGGTGGCTTTTCTTTAAACACTTTCATTGTAATTGTTCGGATGAGCTCCCAATTATAGTACCTAGACTTTTTTTTTAATTTAAGCACTGTACTAGACTGGTGACGAGGTCTTCTCAATTTATACTTGAGCTGGCTAGATGTACCCATAAATTCTATATTAACATTTTTCTCGCGTTTATTGCTTGTGGATCTACTTCTGTCTCCATGATTGCCAGTCAACTGTAATCTACAAAACGTTAAATGAAATGTCTACTGTCCTCCTGATTAATCTTTTCTCTTCCCACTCATTATTATTGATTATGCTCCTAATTCTTCCACACCCTACAACCCTTTGTGTTATAGTGGCTTTACTGTCTTGCACGATATTGAAATATATATATATATATATATATATATATATATATATATATATATATATATATATATATATATTAATTAATTGATTTAAAATATGGTTCGCTTGAGGATGAAATAGAACTAATGCTTTTAATTTAATTGCAAAATTAAATTCGGGGTTTTTAGCTTCTATTTTTGAAACATGGTTAGAACTGTGTAGCGGGAAAAACATATTTTAAATCAATTAATTTATAATATTAATGCTCTGTAAATTTACATTGAGCACTATTTTGAAAAATAAAAATATCTATAAGAACACCGGATTATATATCTTACTGTTCTTTCTTTTTATATATATATATATATATATATATATATATATATATATGTATTGTAGATTTTACAAATCAACACTTGTATTTACTGTTAATGAAATAAGAAAACTGTGTTTTACCATTCTTCAAAATCAGGAGGAATAGACAATCTAAACGTATTTAAAGGATTTTCTTTCTTGATATATTTACTGTCCTCCTGATTACACTTACCGCTTATTTTTAATGTTTCTATTACTAATTCTTCCACACCCAGTAAACCCTTGTGTCTTAGTGGATTTAATCACTTGTATGGGGTGAAGCTGATTAAAAAATGAATAATGTTTTGTGCGGACATTTTTTCGAGGATCTTCAGTTCTTTTCTCTCTATCTATCTATCTATCTATCTATCTATCTATCTATATATATATATATATATATATATATATATATATATATTATATATTAATTTCAATTAAAAGGTGCAAATATAATTTATAAATTCATGAATCATTCATACAAAAACAAATATACAGGTTAATGATTTAAATGGCGAGAATACATCGTCGCAAACAATATAAATAAGATACACCAACCCCGAACCTGTATATGAATGATATGATCCCTGTTTACAAATTCCAGTTGCATAAGGTCTTTTTAATTTTTTACAAGCTTTTTTCCATACCTGATGATGTCTGTAGAAACAAACGAAAGCTTGTAAAAAATTTAAATCATTAACCTGTATATTTGTTTTTTGTATGAATGATTCATGAATTTATAATATATATATATATATATATATATATATATATATATATATATATATATATATATATATATATGAGAACAAATGAAGTATGATTCCACTGTACGTAACATTTAATTAAAAAGGGAGCTCAATACATAGTAGAGCTAAACATTATTTATTTTAGGATATTAAAACATGTTAAAATCGCTACAATTGTGTTTCAACAACATAAATGTGTCTCTTCAGGCGATGTTAGACGATTGGCGATTGAAAGATAATTTAATTTCAAAAAGCTGAATAATTTTAAAAAAAAATGTAAAAAGCCCACAAGTCGATTTTTTGCAAGTAGTCGGCTTTTTTTAAATCAAATTTAATGTTTCAATTGCCAGTTGTTTGGCATCGCCTGAAAAAAAACATTAATGGTTTTGAAACATAGTTATAATTGTGTAGCGATTTTAACTTGTTTTAATACCTAAAATAAATTATATATATATATATATATATATATATATATATATATATATATATATATATATATATGACAACAAAAGAAAGAAAAATTGTCGGCCAGTATACTTATGGAAATTAAGACTCTGAATGTAAACTGTATTTGTAATTAAAGTACTCAATGTCTTCAGTGTGTGAGCTTTAACTGCAACAAATATAATTTATTATGTAACTTATCTGGTCCGCGAATATGCAATTTAATGTTGAGAATGAGAAAAACCAAAAAAGAAAAAAATGTAATTCCTTTATTTTTATCCAATAATCTATACTTTAAATATATTTTCTGATTTTAAATATTATGATAATATAAATATTACGAAAATCCTAAAATAAATTATATATATATATATATATAAATATAGGGGCAATTTGGGCCCGAGTAGTATTCCTGAGGAACTATTTTTGGAATACATGCGTTTGGCTACAGAAATTGTGGAGTTCAGCTTCAACGAGATGATGTATGTCCAGACAGATGGGCTTGCGATGGGTAGCCCTTTGCGTCCGGTTCTAGCCAATATTTTTGTGGGCTATTACGAACGAATCCTGTTTGACAATGTCCAAAAACTTTGCGTCTTTCCTTATGAGATATGATGACACATTTTCCATCTTTGATTTTTCTGGCTCAACTTAATGTGTGTCAAAGTGTGTCTTTATATTCATTTATATTGCCAACGAATACCTTTGAAAAAGTGTTGGCCGAAAGGTACCTTAGGTATGACATCCGTTTTGTTTAAGACTATATATATATATATATATATATATATATATATATATATATTAAACAGAGCGTATTCTGTCTACAGAGTTCGATCCCGCAACACGCCTTGTAGGAGCAACCTCCAGTTGATCGAGTGCCATTCACCTCTTGGTTGCGAATAGCGTCACAGTAAAGCCAGGCCCTATTTTGTACATTTTTAAAGAAAGCAAACTTCTTTTTTTCTCGAAAGTCCATATATGGGCAGTTTGGTATCCGAAACGTAAACAAAGCAATTTCTAAAGAATTAATGGATTTATTTTTAATCCGATATTTTTATTACTTCAAACGTTATTATAGTGGCCACTCGTATTTGAAGCAGAGGCTTTATTTTTACTTTACAAGGTATGTATTTCGTCTGTCGGCCTTCGTATTCGAGAAATCTCAATAAACATATGCTCATCGATAGGAGTCATATCTGCTTCCTCCTTCGGAGCAGAAACCCCCGTTTGATCCCGTATACCGTACAAATCGGCTGTACAGTTGTACATTGGTTCGAACTATATGATGCTTTCTTTTTTAGTACTTTTTCTTGGAGTAGGAGTGAATATTACCGCTACATTTCTTCCAATTTCTTAATCGCTTTAGTCTTCGTCAAACATTTTTCTCTGATAATCCCTGGCTGACAGATTAAGAGATTTGATTATGATGGGTTGGCTGGTTGAAAAAAAATGGGCTTATACATATGTAGGTTGTCGTTTAGTTAGCTATACACGTTTTTTTTTTATGTTGAAACTTCTATTAAAGTAATCTGCCTCTATTTTTTTTAAATTTTTTATCGTGTCTGTCATAAATGTATCTCTATCTCTACAGACCTGTGTCCTCTTTGTCAATTATCCTCACTGGTGTGTGGAGGATGTATGTACCGACCATTTCTCAAGGAAACACCATCAAAGATTCCCATGTTTACATCAGATGTTTCTTCTGTGTCCTTTTTAGCCAGGCTGTTTAATAGACAGATTTTATAACGCTTATTCAATGAATTGTAGTGATTTTTGTGCATTACATTTTCAGAGAGACGGATTTTGCAAAGATAGATGTAATGATAGAAATCTTTAATATCGTATTTAATTAATGCATACTTAATTATGTCGTCAGAACTAGTCAATTTTTTTAAAGCGTTTCACCCCAAGCAAGGCGAGAAGCCACTAGGACGCAAGGGGTTACAGAAAATTTGGAGCAAGATCAGATAGGAGTGATAGAAGAAAGGATGAGGAGAAGGGTAGTGGATAGATCAAGGCAACTGGAGATGTCGATTGACATTACATTTGAATAGCTGGAGATTATAGCTCTCAGGGAAACTGGAATAGGAAAGGGAGTTCCACAGGCGAGAGGGGCGAGAGGTGCGAGACATGAAGCTATTGGAGTAGAAGAGACTGCTACATTTAGTAGTTTCGACAGTGAAAGGGTGAGAGCGGGATGCCAGCCTCGTAGGGCACTTGAATTCATGAAGTCTGGGAACCAGCGAATGCAGCTCCTAGGAGCAATTGCCATGAAAGTATTTGTTAGAGACAGAGAGAGGCGACAGCGTGTCTGTGAGAGAGCGACTGTAGACGAGATGCCAGAGCAGGGCCAATTATATTGCATATCCGCCTCTGGAGCTTATCAAGAACCTCGATGGAAACAGAAGGGGCTCCAGACCATATATGGCAGCAATACTCCATGCAAGGGCGAATTGTTGATTTGTAGATCTGGAGGATCGATTTCGGGGAGAAAGATTTCCTGGCGCGGCACAGGGAGCCATCTTTCCTTGCGGTGGACGAAGCGATTGACTCAATGTATTTGTTCCATCTCAGCGTGAAAAAAATTTGCAAACATAGATGTAATGATAGAAATCTTTAATATTGTATTTAATTAATGCATACTTAAATATGTCGTCAGAACTAGTTTATTATTGATATTGTCTTTGTCCATTGAGTTGTATTTAAGGTTTTTTCTCTACTATAAATTTACTTTTTTTTTTGTTCACTTTTTCGTGAGTTTATTGATCTGCTTGTCGGTTTAAATCTGAAGTTTTATTTGTGGACTGTTATTGTGTGATGAATGCTTGTGAGTTCATATGAGCATCTATTTTATATCTTGCTTTGATTTATTTGACTTCGAGAATAATTTCGTATTCAGTTGGTCTGGTTAGTTTCCTATAGCTTTTTAGAATTTTTTTAGAATTTTTTAAGCAATATTTTGGGTTTGGTGCGGGCGGGATTACCTTGTATGTTTCTAGTTTTATGTTCGGTTAAAAAGATACTAGATTAAATAGTTCATCTGTTTATGTCCTCTTTTAGTTTTCTTTTTGATTTTTGGTCATGGGATTTTATGTCTGATGATGTTAGTCCTTACCAATTTTATCTAGGTCACTGTGTTGTGGCGGGTATTTTTTATTGTTGTTCTTTGCAATCGGTATGGCTCTATGATTAAGACAGCCACATAGAAGAGGGAAGTTTTATTTTATCTCGATCTCTGATCCAGTGTTATATCCGGCTGATGGGATTTAGAGTCGAGTTTTCTAAGTAGCACCAACTTGACAGAAAACAAACAAAAGACCAAACACGTAAAAGAAAGCACTTGAGGTCAAGTGACAACAAACCGAACAGTGATGGTTTCCGTTTACTGCTTAATATTAACAGTTACGGTTCGGATCGTGTGAGTCAGTTCTAGTCTGCTAGTCTGTGTGTCATACCAAAAAAAAAAACGTGCTAAAAATTGTCTATTTTATTTGCTAGTTCAATACAAAGAGAAACAAGGCTTTTTTTTAATCAAAATTTAAAATGTTCTAAAAAGAAGGAAACATTTTTAAAAATAATTAAAAAAAAACATAGTCTTTCCTCTTAATAATAACATAAGCATTTAGACGATAAAATTTTGTTTTCGGCAAGGTTGGCGTCTTTTTCATCGAGCTCTTTTTTAGCGATTTCGTGGAGGTACCCACGTTAGATGATTACAGTTGTGTCTGGTATTTGGGTTATATTCCTGATTTAAGAAAAAATGAGTTTTTATCTCATTGTTTTTGTAAGACGTTTTCTATTAATTTTAATTTGTAAAGTGATAGCAGTTAGGGGAAAACAATACGATACAAACAACCCGCATTTAAAAAAAAAAAAAAAAAAAAAACAAGCATTTAAAAAAAACAAAAAACGCATTTTTAAAAAAAACAATTATTTTTCAAACAGCATGCATTTTACAAAAGACAAGCATTTTTCAAACAAACCGCATTTTTCAAACAACACGCATTTTTTTTAAAAAAAGCATTTTTCGAAAAAAAACTACATTCTTCAAAAAACAAGCATTTTTCAAACAAACCGCATTTTTCAAAAAACAAGCATTTTTCAAACAAACCGCATTTTTCAAACAACACGCATTTTTCAAGAAACAAGCATTTTTCGAAAAAAACTTAATTTTTCAAAATACAAGCTTTTTTCAAATAACCCGCATTTTTCGAAAAACATGCTTTTCCGAACAACCCGCATTTTTCAAATAACCCGTATTTTTCAAAAAACGAGCATTTTTCAAACAATCAGCATTAAAAAAACAAACATTTTTAAAATAAACCGCTTTTTGAAAAAAAGCATTTTCAAACAACCCGCATTTTTCAAAAAACAAGCATTACTTAGAGAAACCGCATTTTTCAAACAACCTACAAATTTTTAAAACAAAACAAGCATTTTTCAAAGAAACTGCATTTTTCAAACAACCTACTTATTATAAATGATGTTTTTCCATCCTGCCCATTTATTATTTGTTTTGAATGCCTTTCCTAACCTACTCTTTTTATTTTTAATCACCCTTTCTATTCATGATTTATTTGAATATTCGAGACAATGTGCAGGTTTGATGTTTCAAACTTTTACAGAAAGGAGTAAATATGAGATATTTATTTCAATAATCAATATTTATATATTAATATGATTTATTAGATTTTTTGTTGCTTGATTCCATCAACAAAAACAATCTATTCTCATCATAACAACAACACAAAATCCGGTACAACTTTTGGATTCTACTTAAGATCACTAAGAATTTGCAGCCCTCAGTATTTACATGAAGAGGATGAATACATAGAAAACACTTTCAAGCTACTTCAGCGCCCTAAACATTTTATATTCAATGCGAAAAGTTCATAAAATATTCCAAAATAAAAAAAAATGACTGCTCCTGACAAACCAATGAAACAAAAAATATATTGTTCTACCATTAAACACTACCACATCTACAATTGAAAAGAATCTATCGGAACTCAAGGTGAAATTTGTTACTACTACATCTAAAGCAATAAAAGATTTAGTCAACACAAAACAAAACAATAAGCTAAAACTTAAAGTAAGAATTTACTTGATTATTACAATTGTCCCAAAAATACATAAGAGAAACTTCAACGAAACTAAATAAGAGATTAGATGAACACAAAATAGACATTTTATAAAACAACAGATCGAATGCGTCGGTTGCGCACCGTAACGAGACTGATCACAATTTTAACACAAAAATTGCTACACCGATCAAGGAGAAAGAATTCACTAAGAAGAAAATATTTAGAGAGTGCTTTGATCGCAAGGTCATCCACACTAAATTTGCGCCTGAGCTCTTACAACATTTCACCATTCCTGGTAGAACTTCTATTATTAGTGTTGGATATTGTTATGGGATCTTACCCATAATAATAATAATGGACTATTCCATACTTAATAAATACTGCACCTCACGAGTAGGCAAGAGTCCATCGTTCGCGTTCGCAAACGGCTGTTCGGTTGAACTCTCTCCCTTTGGGCGGGGAGGAACCCGAAGGAGGCTACGCCGAAGGGCAGAGTCTCTTTCGTGGAGGTAAACCGACCCTGAACTCGTGTATACGGGTTCAATGGGTATATTTTGGGGCCGAGCCCACGGGCTCGGAGATCACACATTAAATAACCGGCCTTGTGCCACATGCTGCCCTAGTGGGGGTGACTGAATATCGTCAGTAGTTCAAGTCTCGACCGGCTGATCGGTTGAACTCTCCCCCTTCGGGCGGGGAGGAACCCAAAGGAGGCTACGCCGAAGGGCGGATTTTCTTTCGGGGAGGTAAACCGACCCTGAACCCGTTTATACGGGTTCAATGAGCATATTTTGGGCCGACCCCACGTGCTCGGAGATCCCACGTTAAACCGGCCTTGTGCCACATGATGCCCTCGTGGTGGTAGGGGGGTGACTAAATATAGTCAGTAGTTCAAGTCGAGTCAAGAGTCGAGTCAGAGGCAGTCCGAAACAGAGTCGCGTTCAGACAATTACTGCAAGACATTGGAATAGTGATACTGGTCGAGACTACATTGTTCTCTCTACTAAACCTGATTGTTCATACTAACACTTCTACTTCTCTGTATATATTCCTGTTTGTAATATATCTGTGATATTCCATATCTGTGTTCGAGTTCTTCTTTAATGGTTCTACCTTGGACTATCACCGTGGTACAAGGAATCAGACCATAACAGATATCTAATAACAAAAGTGATGAAACAAAAAAGAATCTAAATAAAATTGACTAGATTAAAAAAATTTCCTGCATCCCTCGTTCATGCGCATGTGTAGTCGTACCAACATAAGAAATTTAGTTCCATGAAGTCCAAAGGGACGAAACTCTTCACAAGAAAATTTTTCCCACTTTGTCATATATTTTCCAGAGTATTGTTCTTAATCTATAAAAATATGTATCGCTATTATATATATATATATATATATATATATATATATATATATTTGTTTGTTTGTTTAAATGCATATCAACTCCTTATGGGTCATTTAGACATAATTACTTGAAGCGGTGATATATGCATTTTATTTTGTAGTTTTGTTGAAGTTATATTTTGGAATTAAGTTGATTCTTTAAGAAATTGTACGATATTATATGGATTCTGGAATTATCCATGCGGATTACAAATTAACTTTATCATATTTGATATATATATATATATATATATATATATATATATATATATATATATATAGGTATGCGTATGATGAAAAAACATACATAA